AGGGGCGCCCCCTAGTGCCCAGCATGGGCCGCTGCCGCCCTCCTGCTCCGGGAGGCCCTGACGACTAAGCCTTTTCCCCACGGAGCTGGGGCAGGGACATACGGGGCCCAGGGAAGACTGGCGTCTCTGAAGGGCAGGAGGAGAGCATCCCTGGGGTGATGCTTAAAAAGGGGTCTCCACGGAGGGGATCCTGGGAGCCCCCCCTGCAAGTGCCCTGGCTGCGATGCTGCCATCCCGCGTTCCTCTAGAGCAGCGGTTCTCAACCTGTGGGTCGCGACCCTTTCACAGGGGTCGCCTAAGACCATCGGAAAACACATATATAATTACATATTGTTTTTGTGATTAATCACTATGCTTTAATTATGTTCAATTTGTAACAATGAAAATACATCCTGCATATCAGATATTTACATGACGATTCATAACGGTAGCAAAATTACAGTTATGAAGTAGCAACGAAAATAATTTTATGGTTGGGGGTCACCACAACATGAGGAACTGTATTAAAGGGTCGCGGCATTAGGAAGGTTGAGAACCACTGGGATAGAGAGATGCCATTTGCCATCCTACTTCAGGAATCTGGGACTAGCTCTAGGACCACATCCTCCCCTGCACCAGCCCCAGTGTGGGGGCAGCCAGTTCTCCCTGGAAACGCGGATCTAGGTCCGCTCCACCTGCCCCCAGCCCTGTACACACACCAGAGGCCGGCAGGCACCGCTGAGGTGGAGTAGAGCCCTGGGCAGGGCCGGTCTTGGCACCTGGTCACATGCTGCCCTCGCCTGGCTTCCCGCCAGAGCCATGATCCAGAAAAGAGCCACAGAGCCGCATGCCTTCCACCCTCCCCCGGGCCGCACTCTTCCTTGGTCCCCAGCAGCCTGGCACGCCTCACCTGGTTGGCAGCACTTCATTAAGAGCGGCTGCCAGAGCTGAGTCACAGTGTGACCTGCCGCCCTAGCTCAGTTCAGGAAAACGAGGAGAAAAGGCAAAACCTCGGGGCCCACTAGGTGGCACAGAGATGCCAGCCTCTTTGTGGCTCTGTGGTGCCCATGCCAACCTTCTCACCAGGCACCCCGCCCCTGCACCTGGTAACCGAAGCCACACATAAATGGCACAGGTGGCACAGAGGTGAGGGCAGCTGGGGAGAGTCCCTGGGTGGGTGTGCCCAGATCTGACAACCTGTCACACCTGTCTGTGACCCAGCCCCCCTGCCAGTGCTGCCCAGCTGGCACGAATGACTGTCACCACAGCCAAGCCCAAGGCCAGGGAGGGGAACAATGCCTCCTGCAGCTATCAATCCAGGTGTGAACAGGAGCAGGCAGGAGGCCTTCAGGCCAAAGGCTGGGCCAGAGCACCTCCCCATTTGCACAAGTCAAGGCAACTGCCTTTGAGGGAAAGAACAGGGTGAGTGAGGAAACGGGGAAGCTTGTGGGGCTGGGGCTTCCTGTGGCGGAGGGAGAAGCTGAGAGGGTCCAGGTAAAGATGGGGGGATGTCAATTTGTCAATTGCTCCTACTCCTTGCCCTTCTTCCACAGTCAAAAACTGTTTCCAAACAGTCAGGGGGCACTCACTCAAGCCAATGGGAAAAGAAATGTATTGAGAACAAGAGTTTCCCCCAAGAATAAAGAGCCCCCACCCCCATTCCATCTCCTCACTCAGACCCCACTGCCATCCCACTGCCTCTCTGTCTTCCCTCCCATCACATGGCCCTCTGCTTCCAGCCACTTGATCCCTGGCAGACTTCTTTACAACCTAGGCCAATCCCCCCAGCCCCCCTTCCTGACAAGTTAAGGAAGTGAGAGTTCGTGTGGGGGCACTACCCCGAGAGCCTCCTCCAGCTATTCATCCTGCAAACATTTGCAGCACCAGGCCCCATGGGGATCTGAAGATGAATAAGATGCTTTTGTTGAGGGGCTTACAGTCCAGCTGCCCTGGCCTGTGGGAAGTCTAGGAATTTCCCAGCCCCAGACTGCCATCTCTGTTCCCCACACTGTTCCAGGCACTGCAGCAACGTGTGTGGCTGGCCACCAGGGCTGGGGTGGGGGCGGGAGGGGCAGCAATGGCACGCCCCTCCAGGGCAGATCCCGCAGTCTGCTGTGGCTCTGCAGCCTGAGAGATCTTCTTGCTTTCCAGATTCCGAGTTGGGAGATGGAAATGAAAACAGCATTTATGAAGGCAACAGGCGGGTCATCTAGCAAGGAGCTGGCCATGGAGCTCGGCGGAGACCTCTCCCCCAGCCGCCCTTTCTATGCCCCCAGGTGCCTCCCTCCCTCCCTCCCTCCTCTTTACTGAAACCGAGACCATGTGTCTGCAGTTACCGTGTTTACTTTATGCCACTCCCTTCTTGGGGTTTGGCTTGAGCGTCTACGGACAGCAACAGCCAAGACCCCGACAGCACAGGCCAAGCAGCCTGGCTTGTTGAGCACCCACAGGCTGCCCTGCTGCTGCCCCTCAGCCCAGAAGCCCCAAAGGACCCCACAGCCCTGACAGGCCCAACGGCCTGGGGTCCCTCTGCTGAGGGCACCTGTTCAGGCTGCCACCCTGAGTGGAATCGAGGTGCGTATTCAGTAAACCGACTTAATTTACCCAACTCTGTTTTAAGCTTATTTCAGTCTCATTGGACAAAGGCTCAGGGCCTCTGACTGGGAGGAGAGGGAAGCACAGCCCACAGCGCCCCCCCCCACCTCCACTTCTCCTTGCTCCCCACCACCACCATCGGGAGGGGTGACACATCCCGGACCCCCGGGGGCTGGTCAGGACCTGATTGGTGTGTGGACTCCACTCTGCTCTCCTCTTAGGGCCCAGAGACCAGGTCAGACGGGGTGAAAAAAGGTCAGAGAAAGCTCATGAGAAGAGAGAACATTATGTGTTTCTGTTTGTCTGTGGGGGGAGAGGGGGTCAAAAAATAAAAGATGGTGGGCACATACTACTGATAAATGCAAAAACATTATGCTAGGTGAAATAAGCCAGACACGAAAGACTGCACAGCATATGATTCTATTTACATGCAATTTCTAGAAAAGGCCACACTGTAGAGACAGACCAGTGGTCATGGGGGTTGGGACTAGGGATGGAGACTGACTGAAGGCAGCTGGAGAGGACTTTGGCAGGTGATAAACATTTTGCATTGATCTCTCGTCGTCACAATAACCCTGTGAGGCAGGTATCATTAACCTCATGTTACATGGGAGGAAACCCTATACAGTGAGGCCTTGACTTACGAGTTTAATTCGTTCCTCGACGGAGCTCGTAACTCAAATTACTCGTATGTCAAATCAATTTTCACCATTACAATGACACGTGATGCTGGGCTGATGTTGTGGCGTTCGCTGCGCCAACTAGCGGTGGGGTATCTGAAGCTGGCTCGTAACCCGAATTTTAGCTCGCAACTCAAAGCAAAAAATCGGCCGAGAGACGGGACACTCGCAAGTCAAGGCCCCACTGTATTAGGATTCTCCAGAGAAGCAGAACCAATCGGATTTAAACAGATATATAGTTAGAGATGTATTAGGAGGATTGGCTCATGCAATTATGGAGGCTGAGAAGTCCCACGACCTGCCATCTGGAAGCTGAGACCCAGGAAAGCTGGTGATGTCGTTTCAGTTCAAACCCAAAGGCCTGAGGACCAGGAGAACCGATAGCCTGTGTCCACGTCTCCGTCTGAAGGTCTAAGAACCAGGGGCATGGATGTTTGAGGGCAGGAGAAGATGGATGGCCCAGCTCAAGCACAGAGAGAGTTTGCCCTTCATCTTTTCATTCATTCAGGCCCTCAACGGATTGAATGATGTCCGCCCACGCCAGGAAGGCAATATTCTTTACACAGTCTACCGATTCAAATGCTAGTCTCTTCCCGGAACACCCTCACACACATACTCAGAAACAAGGTTTTACCCACTATCTGGGCGTCCCTTAGCCCAGTCGACTTGACACATAAAATTAATCCTCACAACATCTAAGCTCCAGGGCATGACACGCCCAAATTTACAGGGTGTGAGTCAGTCTGGTGGCTAAGACCATGCTTCTGGACCACCTGAGAGGGTAGCATCCTTAACCAGCTCCAGCAGTCGGGTGCATAGCAGAAAGGGCCTTGAAGAATGGAGCCCAGGCAAGCCAAGAGGTGGGGGCAGGAAGAAGCCGGGAGTGCACACAGGAGCATCTGGCTAGAGTAGGGTCATTGGGCAGGGGAGTCAGGGGGCCCCATGCTCAGGTCAGGGAGCTAAGGTTCCACACAGACAGGAGGGAGCTACCAAAAGCCACCAACCTACACTTGGTGAGATGAGGCAAGTGAAACCCAGAAGAGCTGATGGCAGTAGGAGGAGAGCACACTCCCGTTAAGGAAAGAAATGGGAACTTTAAAACATCCAAGAGTGTAAATGTCTATGCATCCATCGAGCCCCCACCTCATCTCTCTGCCTTCTGAACGCTCTCCCCCATGATCCCACCCCAGCCCGGGCTACCCTGATAGAAGTACCCCCGCCCCCCGCTTTTTGAAAGTTCGTTTTCCGCCACTCCACTCTCATGATAAAGCTACATCAGTATCTGTGTTCGATAACCGAAGAAAATCTGAAGAGTTTTTTCACTTTTAGGAAAAAAGCGGAAATAGTTTTCCGTGTTTGTTCTGCAATGAGCCCTTCCAGCAGCAGTGAGCATGGCCCCACCTAGCGCCTTCCCTGGGAACTGCACCCAGCATCTCAGCAGCAAGCTGCCAGAGCAGGGACCGTGTCTGAGGCTGTGCTTCGTCTTGATTTATTTTGTGCATCTGTTATCAAGTGTCCAAGGGATCAGAAAAGCCTAAGAGAGCTCATAAGGATGTCACCCTTAGTATAAAATTGGACATAATTGAGCATTTGGATCATGGTGGTGAGCGAAATAAAGGCAGTGTGCATGCTAAATTTTAGGTCTGGGAAGGCTCATCTTCGCTTTCTGCCATTTCAACTGACAAGGGGGTTGGTAGGAACGCGCTGCTTCCGGTTGGCTGGGGAAGCCCGAGACGGCCTTGGAAGGGAAGCCACAGGACAAAAGGAAAGAGATCATTCTTGGGCCTTCAACTCCAGAGAGGCTTCTGAAACCGTCAGCAGAGATGACAGGTTGAGACTGGCTGCAAGATCGCAAGGGGGGCTCCCCAGGACCCGCTGCCCACCCCCAACACTCTCCATAGTGCAGGGAGGGTGGAGGGGCGGTGGCAGGGCAAGTTCGTCTCTCTGTGCCTCAGTTTCCTCATCTGTACAAAGGGTCACAGCACCTACCTCGGGGGTGTTGAGAAGATGAAGTGGGTTCATTCATGGTAAGCAGGCAGAACAGGGCAGCAGTGGTAACTACCCAATACGCATTAGGATGATTATCATTATCGTGGAGGAATGGCATGTCTGAGGCGGTTCCAGGGCGAGGAAAGACACCATCCAAAGTTTCCCAAGCCTCAGAGAGACAGAAGGGCCTCTCTGCATTAGCCAGCAGGGACATACAGCGACAATCCCTGCTGCTCCGTAACAACTCAGAACTCAGAGGAGGAATGCCAAGAGGACGAGATAACCTTCACCACCCAGAATTCCCTTTAAGGGCTAAAACTGAAGTCCTGCCACGGCCCGATATCGGAAAACAGTCCATTTATTTGCACCAGCACCAAATCCGCCTCAAGTCCTTTCCTTTCTCCAGGGCCGGCACCCCGCCTGCTTTTCCGGACGAGGAGGGACTGAAATCTGCAGCTCAAGACTGAGGTCGGCCTTTTCCTGGGGCTCCTGGCAGCCCAGGCCCCTAAGACAAAGAACATCAGGCCAGGCCTGAACATCTGGGCACTTGGACATTATGCCGGCCCCCTGGCCGCCTCTCCTTATTTATCCCAACTCCCTTCTCTTTTCCTCCCTCTTCCTGCCTTCTTTCCTGGGGTCTTCCCTGAAGATAAAATCTTTACCTTGTCCCTGCAACAGACTCAGCCCTAGTGCTCAAGGCAGCTTGGCAGGGCTCGGGCAGCTCCGTTCCAGGAGCGCCATGTGGTGTGGCTGGCCGGCTCCTCACCCCTGCGGCCTCACAGCGCTGCCCACTGGGCCAGGCCAGCTCTGCCAGGACACCTAGGAGGAGGCAACTCTGCCCTGACAAGAAGAGGCTGTTAAAGGCCTGACACCGCGCTCCCATTCATTCATGGATTCCGTGAGCCGTCACTGAGCGTCCAGGTGGCCAGAGCTGGGCCGGTTCAGTCCTGCCAGGCGAGGTTGGGCTCAGTGCCTGGCATACAGTGCCCTTTGCCCGGGGCCCACGGGGATGGGTCTCAGGGCATCCCCCTCCCAGCAGAGAGAGCACGTAGATGGGTTGTTTAGAGCTCAGTGAATTGGAATGAGCAGACAGAAAGGACGCTCTGCCACGTGCTCTGCTAGGACCGGGCGAGTGGCCGGGCCCAGAGCCTTCCCCCGGCCCCCACTGTCCTCTGGCAGCGGGGAGACGCCAGCCAGGAGGCTTAGAACAAGGTCTGCGGGGGCCCGAGACCCATGAAACGTCTGAAATGCTTGTGGGTCGGGGCATGGCTCTGGCAAGGACTTCAGCCCCCAGCAAAGGAGAGAGGAGTGAGGACAGGTATTTCTGGGGGGATTTAAACCTCCAGACACTCGCCCTGGCCGGTGTGGCTCAGTTGGCTGGAGTGCCGTCTTGTACACCAAAAGGTGTTCCTCCCTCCCTCCCTCCCTCCCTTTCTCTAAGATTAATAAAATATAAAAATAAAAATAAACCTCTGGTCACTCAACCAACCACTGCCTGCAGGCAGCACGGGGCATCTGGGCCCTCACTTCCTCAGCTGCCCCTGCCACCCCAGGAGCCGAGAGCCTGCCATCACTCCTCAGCTTTTCTCTCCCAGGGCAAGGGCTGCCGCCTCTGGGTGACTCCCCGCAGCTGGGCTGTGGCCCACGACCCACAGGGCACTGAACCCACAAAGGAAGCTGTTCCTGAGTTTGGAGAGTGAGTCACTTCAGGGTGAAGGGGATCCATCATTATCCCCCCCACCCCAGGGATTGGGGCTCCCTCCTGTTCCCAAGTCCTGTTGCCACTGCTGGGGCTGCAGGGGAGCCTGGAGGAGGGCCTTGGGCTTGACCTCAGCCTCTGGCTCAGGAAAGCAGCTCCCAGGCCCCGCTGGGGCTCCGGCTCAGGAAGTGGAGCCCCACCCGGAAGAGGACAGGATGAGACTTTTCAACATGTATCCTCTTTATGTCATTTAGGCTTTGGACCATGTGACCCTATTACCTATTCAGAGCAGGAGAAACTTGTTTTAAAAAATCACAACACACACACACACACACACACACACACGTCCACCACTGAAGTCACGAGCCAAACCACCTTCTTCAAAGGTCAATCAGATTAGCCATTCCCACTAACTGTCCACTCTACTTAAACCA